CACTTGTACTTGCTTTGAGTAGTCTGTTTCAGGACTAGGAAGGAGGCTATAAGTATAGTGGTTTTTATAGTCAACAGGAATAGGTAGCTGAAAGAGGTGTAGGCTCTGCTATAATTCTGACGTGTATCAAAATTAATTTGTCAGCTATGAAGAGGCTAGGTATGTCTCAAATCGCTGATAAAAGGTTAGCATATGATTAAGCTCCTATTAAGGTACATGACCACCATCGTGGGCCCATTTAAAGGGTCATTAGGCAATCAAAACGTCCAGAAAAATGAACTTTCTAAGACTGAATGGAAGGAGATTATTCACATTTGTGTCTTTTGATTGTTACTCCTACATGTAACAAAGTCTTTGAAATATGACAGTATCTAAATGATTTTTGACCATTGCTCTGCTACTTCTTGTTCAGAATGAAGCACTTTTATTCCCAGAGTTTTCATCTTGAAGCCGCAACTGCAAGATATATGAACGGTGAGTTACGAGAGTGCATAGCAAATATATATTCAAGACGAATATGGTAACAAATAAGTATGCTTTTTGTGAAGTTACATAGTTATAAAATAAAAAATTAAAATATCTACATATTAATCTACCAATTTGTTTAATAATACGACACTTTTGTAGCGCATACAAGAAAACCATCACACTCGTTGCATAAAATACAACGCTTAAGCCACTGAAGCATAAATACGAGAGTAACAACGACAAATTTTGGGAATACACAAAAGCACTGAACTTTAAGAGTGACCGCGCATAGGGCCAGGAGGAAAATGGAGACGTGGGTTGCAAGACAACACTCTCAGAAATGGAGGAGTATCTCCAGACATTTCAGCCAGGCACGGGAACTCATTGAAGGGCCCAGTGCTAAGGATGGACGGTTCTGCTTATCTCTGGATAGAGCCAACCTAAGGTTGCTGGTGGGACTGTTGTCTGGCCACAACACGTTAAGGCGCCACCTGCACGTGATGGGGGTGGCTGAGGATCCCTTGTGTGAGCGATGCGGGGTATAGGAAGAGATCTCGGCGCACGTTTTGTGTCGTTGTGAAGCTCTGAGCTACTATAGGCAGACTATCCTGGGGTCCATTACTTTGGACCCTCAGGACGTCAAGGAACTTAGGCTCAAGGCGATTCTCAACTTCGTTTAAAGGGCGAGGCTTGTGATTTAAAGAATGTAGAGGTACAAAAGGGCCCGCTTAAACGGCCTATGCACTGGCTCCTTATGGTGGCCGGAATGCCTCTAATTTCACGATTCATTCATTCAAGGCACTGAACAAACGTGGAACACTAATTTTTCAGCATGTGCTGAGAAGGTAGAAAGTTTGGGCAAAACTTGCAAAGTATTTGATAAATGACAAAATTAGAGGTCTTCAGCAGCAATTCAGTCTTGCTTAGAATCGCTTAGGCACATGAAACGGCAGAAATTCAAGAGGTTTATGATCACTTCAGTACGCTGCCAGATTAGAGTCAAGTCGAGGTTTTGATTGTATTGGTCATAACCTTTTCATAGAAAAGCTCATACACACGAGACTTAGGTTACCCGTTGAAGCATGCATAAAAGATTTGTATCGAACATCAAAATAAAAGTAAGAGTGAGTGATACCAAATTAGATACATTTGAAATAAACTGTTTAAAGGTTTACAAAAATAAAACTTTATTAGCTACGTAATTCCAGAAAGGTATAATTTTTGTGATTAAGGCCCACTGCTCAACTTCCCTAAGTCCCAAGGAGAGCGCAGCCGAGCAGATCCCTTGGGACAACCTCTAGCTGAGCGGTTTAATCAGCGCAGTTACGGAGATGTGGTAATAACAAAGTAGAGGCTTCCAACATTATTATTGTTTTAGTTATTATCCGGTTTTTGTTCCTGATTTTTTTTTGTCTTTTCCTAATTTAAGTATGACTTGTTATATATCTCTTTAAGATCGACAGAATGAATTTGGATTTGAAACAGGCAGACACTCCGCTCCGTGCGATGCTCCGAAATGGCTTTACCCTATCATTTATTCTGGCTCTTGGTTCGGAAAAACAAACGAGCGGAAATTAAGTTTCAAATGGTATCTACTTATCGCCCTACACGGATACCACTAATGATCTCGAACACGATATACTGAACTAATTTACTTGAACACCTTTTGTCAATTAGAATATCCCATCAGGTTCGCTTCCGAAAACAATACGAAATAAATAAACAACCGCAGTAGGAAATAGCCATTTGTCCGATTCCACGCCTGTTTCTCTCGTACAATTACTGCTATTTCCGTCTGAGGAGTTACCCTCTATTTGGTAAAGTATTATGATCACAGTGATGCCAAATCTGCAGTTGTAAGGTAGAACGTGAGGCTCAATAACGTGAACTGCCTGCGATCTTTCCAAATATGATACAAATGAGTATAACAAAATAATAAAAATAATCTTTATTCATGGCAATGTATAAAGGTATGGATTGCTACCGGGAAAAGGCGAAATTCAGCTTTCATTCGTAGAGCTGGTCTTCCACTTAACCATATGCAGGGCGATTCACAAGTCGTGACCAAAAATGAAACATCATACACAGGACCGCATTTTAAGGGGCGTCTTATGTGCAACATTCTTTCCTCGACGGCTTCATTAATAAGATGCGAGGGGTTGAGGTCTTGCGGAAATACGTTTTTCTTTATGTAAAAGATGCCGCACTCGTATCCGTCAGAATATTTATTGAAATAAAGCTTTGATTAACTAATTTGTTTTATTTTTATTTTTACGAAGCAGTGCACTCTAGGAAAAAACGTAAGAGTAATTATTTGTAGCAAATTCAAGGTAAAATTCGAAAAACTGCGCATTCGAAAAAAACAGTGGCATACTATTCTTATTTGGAAAAATAATGCCACTGATCCCCTGTATTTCCGCCACTGGTGCACGTTAATTTTAAGTAAGGACTCCTGAATATGGACAATACTTAGATAAATCCGCATACCAAATTTTAGTTCAGTCCAGTTGACGGTTTTGAAGATATTAGAAAAAATTGTTTTTTATTTTTAAACTTCAACACCCCCCGTATCTTTTTAATGAAGTCCTCGAGGAAGAAATGTTACATAGAAGACCCCCCTTAAAGTATGATCCTGTATATGGTGTTTCATTTTTGGTCAGGACTTGTGAATCACCCTGTACAATGCGCTTGAATATCTTATATAAGTTCAAGGTGAAAATATGAAGATATAAGAATAAGATAAGAATAATATTAATTTTTAAGCAGCAGTTTGAAAACAATGACGTAACTAATACGTACTAAAGAAAGGACAGATTAACAGAATATGCAGTCGTTAAACAATCTGCGTAAAACTGAACTGAGAACGGCTTTTCGTCTTAATATGCCTGTACAAGAAGTTACTTTAAGATAATTGAAATATATTTTCCTATGTATGGTGATGGTGATGTTTTTTTTATTCGATGATACCAAACCTTAATAAGTTGATCATTTATATCAGTCGGCTTATATCTGCATATGGGCAATCATATAAGGCGATTTCAATATCTTCACAATAGGCCGATACTACCGATATAGATCCTTAGTAGGAAGTAATCTGCTTGGATGCATTTTACGAGAAAGTACTTAGTTAATATTTGCACACATGATGTGCGTGGAAGTACTTTGCTAGAATAAGGTGCCAAAGATACAATTTTTCAAATTTGAAGTGACTATAAACTTGCATTCAATTAATGTGTGGAGTTCAAAGCCATACCTCATGCTGATGGACAGTTGCTTGGTATCATTCTTGGACTACATTTATGGCTAAACTCCTATAGATACAGAAGCGTTGGCATCTGTTGGAGAAGTGTAAGTGGGCCTTTTTAATGGTCATCGAAAGGCTATTCTTAAACTAACAATAAGTAAAACATATTTCGCAACATGTTCCTAGGATCCATTGTTTAAGTTTCTCACTTACAAGATAATCTCTAATATGTCAAGGTATTGTCAAATTTGGCATCGCTGTGTTGAGGGTGAAGCCAAACCATAACTGTAAGCCTCCCCTATTTTTTACAATGACCTTATACACAGAGGGTGGACAAATGCCAATCGTCTGGATACCCCAGCACTCTTGTTATTGAAGCTAGCAGACCGAGTGCATTCAAACGAGTGCCATTGCCAAAATTGCTAATAAGGGGTCTTAGCAGTGATATAGGGAAGACCCGGGCAAAGTGAACAGCTAAAGGATTCTGCTATTATATCAGAAAAATAAACAATAGTTTTTAGTTAGCTGTGGCTATTAAGTATATTGGAACGGTTTCACCGTCTATGAAATACGAATATACCTACCACATGCTCAACTCATATTTGTGATTTGGATGTTTTGTAAAAAATGATTCTAAAAACAATGTTCAACAAACCAAAATTATATCCAAGTTATTTCTTATGCAAACAGATGCACTTATATAACATAAAACAACTTTATCTCTTACAAGCTGTCCCCAACTATAACAAATTTATTAATCGCTACACAATGCATACACTAAGAGAAGTTGTACCTAGACCAAACAAATCTTACCTTTATTTAGGACCAAAATTATATAAAACAAGAACTAGGTTTAGTGACACATTTTTTCTAAACAAATTCGTTACAAAATTGTGTTTAATGTTTCGTATTGTGACGGCGTGAAGAGTAGATGAGTAGACAAGTAGAACCATCTACCACAAACAAAGCAAAGTACAAATTCCACAAATGGCTGTATTGATATTATTGATAAATAGGGGCTTCCAAGATTTGTATGCTGCATGTACTGCCTCCAATTTTTCAAAAGGCTCACTGGGTGGCTACGCAATTACTCACTAAGCCCTTTTAATCCCCATCTAAAAATGAAGTATCTTCGGCGATTCGTATAGCTTTACCTCACGCACACCGAGTCGTTAAAAACCTGCCACTATACACAAATCCCGATTTATTTGCCGTTTATTGAGACGCAGAATTATGAGACAAATTGAACCGAAGTTAATAATACGGATTCAATGTTGCCAATTCATACAGGGTGGTTCTAAAGCCAGTTGCAATATATCTACAGCCTGACCTTGGAAGAGAAGGCAGCAAGATCCATACACAATGATCTTAAACTCCTTATCCGTTGACAGAATACGCAATGTGAAGGCTTTTCTTGATCGGAGAAACGTAATTCTGGATCAAAAGATATTACTTTAAACTAATTCACTTTTTTTAGCCTAGTTGCTTAGACATCAGGGTTGATTGATTCAAATAATTTGAGTTTAATTATGATTTTTTTTATAAACCAAACTTGATTTTTTTCTAGAAAGCTTATGAATTACTTAGAACTATAATAATCAAAGCAGCTAAATAAAAAAATATACTTATTTAAATGCACAGTTTTCACTTATTGTTGTATGTAAGCTGTGTTATTATAGCACACTATTAATGAATAAGAAAGTCACTCAACAACACTTTATTAACATTTATTCGCCTATTTTAGATTGGACATGTAGAAAAATTCGTTTTATAGATGCAATGAAGCAGCTGGTAGAGCATAGGCTTTTTAGTTCATTATGCTCATCTATTATTATTTTTATTGTTTCCTCCGAAAACATTACTTGTTCGAATGGGTCACTGTTGGCCTTAAATTTAATTACTAAAACCAGTAGGCCTGTTCCTAGATACTAATTTCGAGTTCCGAGTATGCTCACTGATGCAGCAAATGATATACCTAACTCTTTGGTGGTTTTTTCAACAGTCATCTAACAACTTTTTCAGTCCGCTGCGAACGCATTGCATCGAACTTCAGTTCGAGTGCCGCTAATGCAAAAATAACAGTTTTATTAGGGGCTTGTCTGTTAATAAAGTCAAAATCCACCATATACAGTGAGTATTAATTCAAATTTATAATATATATAAGTGAAATGATGATTTATTTGATTTGCTTAAAGAATCAAAAGAATCTATAAGAAACAAAAAAATGAGATATTTATTAACCCTACCAGACACTTAGACTATCCTAGGCAAACGTTTTTCACAATCAAATTATAGTGTTCTGGACAAAGTAGAAGTCATCTAACACAAATGTATAACCTTCTAAGAGTTTTGATTTGTACGTCGCTATAAAGATTGTAGTTGAACCATTTCAGTTTTGCTTCACAAGGTGCTATCACTATGGATTATGATTTATAATGCATACGGCAGAACAAACGCTTATAGTGCTTTCCTGTAACGTGTGACGTTACCAAGCAAATCACGTACCAACATTCCTGCAGTGTTCCTAGAAAACGAACTCGTCCATTGACGCACCTATAAAGACGAACCAGAAGCGTTCCTTGTTATCTTGTTGTTGCGAACAAGGCCAAAATACTTCAGGTGTAATTTAGATTAGCTGGGTTACATAACAGATAGACCTTGACATGGTAGAGGTTACTTCTACTTGATATGTTTCAAGATTCTAGATGATGGATTAAGTAAGTGCCATAGTTGAACCGAATCTGTTTCTGTCTCTGTAACCCATTACCCCACCACCTATAAGGTTGTTTCATGCTTTTAGCAACCATCAGTACGGTGTAGACAGATAGACGAACATCAAACAGGCGGGAATAATTCACTCTGGCCGACACTGAATGATGTTTACTGTTCTATTCCATGGGCCGAAGATGTACCAAGCTCCAGCGAACTATTTAGTATTTCCAGTGTCTTCTAAACCTGGCAGGTTTAAATGAAGTAATTTCAATGTGGCGTCAAAAATGGTTACACAAAAAGAATGGACTAATATTTGGAAATGACAATCGTCATATCCAACGTTAAAAATGTTTAACTTTCAGCAGCTTTATTATCAATTGTGATGTTACAATTGTTGTATATTTATTGGAGTCCAAATATCTGTATTTTCATAAATGAATGACGTCATTCGATTTACCATCATTTATAAAAAACGTGCATGGCTGGCATTTGTGTTTCCTGGCAAACGTTAATGCACTCATATTCCACACGAAACTAACAAATCGTTCGAAATTATCAGCGCTGGTGCACTCTGATGGATTGATGGGGATTTTTATTTTTTTTATACCTATTCTGCCTTTGATGAGAGTACCAACTTTTGTCATTAATTTGTACAGCAGCGCTCAAAGGGCACAGACTGTCCTTGCTAAATCTTCTAACCCATCTACCTACATCTACTTTTTTTTCTCAGAAGCAATAATTCTACTCACGAAAATCGATATAATCACAACAGGCTTCCAAATTACTGGAGGCCTTTCAGTCTGAACTATTCCATCCGTTTAATGACATTCCATTATTCAGGCATAATCCTCCCGAACGGTAGCCGTTCGAATCGCATACTTTGATCTTAATAAAGATACCAAACTCCTGATGAACCATAAAATTATTTTAATTCAAGATAATTAATCCTAAGCGTCGAAAAGTCTATGGTAGGGGAATTCCCATAAAATTAAAACGCCATCTACGTCCTGCATTGTGTGGCGAGTGTCATGCGTGGTTTAGTACGGGAGATAGCAACCAGATTGAATTTTGTTTAAAAAAATACAATACATAAGCCCAAATATCCAAATCTAACACTGTTAAGCTGGTTTTAACGTCAATTAACAGGTTTTAAAACAACGACTTCCCGTCAGGGTGAAAGGTTTACGAGCTTTTTCAGGAAAAACCAGGTCTTTTGCAATACGTTTTTCACACCAACTTTCTTTCTAGTGAAAATTATAGTTTAACTGTTGACAAAAGCACCTTACTATTACAGCACCTTAAATGCATTCTTTTCCACCAGATTTAGTCTCCTGATTTTGATATGATATATTGCCAATAATCGCATAACCTCAAGCAGTGTGCTCAACTTTAGAAGAATTATTTTGAAAGCAGCGTAACTTCAAAAGTTACAATTGAGTGACGGCCAATAAAACGATATTGATAAGGCGAACATGATAAAATTATCGATATCATTGAATAACTGCACAAGCATCTCTAGCAGGTGTAGAAAGAATTTTCTTCTTTTGGCTTAAAACGTAATATACTGGGTACTGCAAAGGCCTCGAAGTTAGTTTTTTGGAACATATAATACATCTTTAAATAATAAAGATGACTGAAAGCGAAATTATATGATTAAAATGTATTTCTAAGTTTTCTAATAGATTTTACTTTAAGTCGTAGTTTAAGAGTTAGTACTTTACGTTTATTCCTTTCTCGTTTTCACATATGAATACAAATAACAAGGTAGTACTATATGTTTGTGTTTCTGATGTAAATATGTGTTTAGTTGCCATTAGACAAAATCTTTATTTGACAGATCACAGAACCTTCTTTCCACACATCAAGTAATGCTATCCAGCTGCTACCTGTACTGTTTAACAGGTGGAAAGCTATTTGTTTGACCGACGACCAAAATAGATAATGTCTAAAAGCAACTATTTACTATACAGTTATATATGTTTTCTACTTCTTTTAGTCAATATTTAAACGCAAATTGTTTGAACCAAAGAAATTTGGTTTAAACCAAAAACCTACTTTTTGTTTTTTAAGCATTTTTCATTGACATGAATATATGTATCCACTCCCCATAATAAGACAGCGCAAAGCGCCATCTATCACAGTAGAATAGGCTGCGGAAAGCGCAAAGGTGCTGTTAGTTGGAACTGTTAGGGATCCCAGTTTACGTTTAATAGCAAAGTCACCACGGGACTACTAGGTCGCTGCCGATTCTAGCTGTAAAGTTGATGTGGTCTAGTCTCTGAAACGCGGAAAAACAAAGTTTCGGTACCTTATACTTCATTTTTTTCCACCGCCATAGGTATGTGTGTGTATGTATGTATCCAAAAAATATCTATTTCAATGGCTACAGGGCAAACGGTTTAAAGAATTTTGACGTATGAGGTGTTTTTCGTTCCGTCTAGGCAGTGCGAATGACACTGACTATATCGAAATCTTATAAAAGCTAAATGGCGAATCTTAATAAAAATATTCAACCTTAAAATTCATATTTCACGGCCATGATGGATTTTGACATACGAAATATCTCTAGATTTGTCTTGACTGAGTGAGTTACACTGCATATACTGAAACTTCGTAAAATCAAAATGGCGGATTCTAAGCTTTGAATTTTGAAAAGTCTATTACACGGGGTATAGCGCAATCATCTTAATGGATTTTGACATTTGAGGTATCGTTCGATCCGCCTTGACAGCACAATTAAAAATACGTTATTCTCAGTTACTGCAGTCGGGATTTCTGTGTTTTTTAAAAATGTACTTTTTCGGCATATGCATACATCATTTAAAATGTTGGCGTGTGAAGTAAAATGACTCATGCAAATTTTAGATAAAGTAACTACTGTGTATGTAAAGAGATAATAGGATAAGAAGCATTTGAAAGTAAAATGTAGAAGCTATAAGCCTCCTAGTACATTTGTATATAATAACAATTATAATCATAATTCATTTGCTTCTAAATTACAATATATATAGGTAGCAAATAAACGACAAAACTCAAAAAGGTAAATCCTTGTTCGTGCGATGCAGAGTATCCCAAAAGTGTCAACACACCTAAATATCTAGGAAGCTAAGGCTGCTAGCAAAGAAATCAAATTCAAAAGTACGAGGAAATCAACTGGCGCATCTAGTGGTGGCCTTTCATTTAACGTTGTCATTTTTCATCAAAGTGATTTCAAGGGCGAGTTGATTTTTTCAAACGGGAACATCTATTTTTTATTACAGAAATAGAAAGGCAAAAAAATAATTTTAACGGTATGAATATCATTGATGCTAAAATTACTTTTAAGAAAATTAATTTGATCTTGGATTGACCTTTCGTAGCCAAGATTAGAATAAAGGTCACCAACAGATGTTTCGTTGAGTGTCCTGCAATTTTAGCATAAAAACATCTTCTTTAATATTCTTCTTTTTTAAGCTATCCGCTGCTCCACAACATTCTATGAAAAATGGGGGTTCCTATTTGAAAAAATGAACTTGCCGCTGAAATGACCATCAAGGTAAACGTCAAAGTCAAAACCAAGGTTACCACTAGATGACCCACTTTATTTCCTGAAACTTTTGTGTTAAAGTTTACTCACCCCTAGTTTTAGAGATATTTAGGTGTGTCCATACTTCACATAAAGAAGAATCTGGAATTTATGAACACACACAGTAATACCTTTTGAGATTTTAAATTTCTTGTAGTGAGGTTCCTGCAAGTATCGGTTTGAATAATTTAAAATGATATGAAGTGGCACTAGATTTTTTGACACTGAATTCAGTATACAGTAAGTTCAGTACCCTAGATTTTCAAGTGTTACAAGAGTATTTACCGAAATACAAGTGATATCTCCTGCACTAACTCAACTATTTTCCCATAAAATTGAAAGACGATTTATAACATTCCTGTCACAGAAATGTCACAAACATTTACTCTATTTTCCTGAATCAGGTAGCAACTACTTGTGTGGTTGGTTTCTTTCACACGTAGCACATAATGGTTGCCTTTATTTGATCGAATCTTTTTACCTGGACACCTCTAGCGCACCGTTGCGTTCCTCAAACGGCAGGGCGTAATGAAGTTGGCTGAACACAAAAAAGTGATAAATTTTTCATTATTTTTCGATTTCATGGTGCTCTAGACAGGTGTAAGGATGAGTTGAAGACTAAAGGGAACGCGCTCAAAAAAATCAGCGGTGGCTTAAGATGTAATTTCGGACAGGCATGCAAGTCATCCTTACGGGAAAGTTCAGTCGTTATAATTACGAGTATTATGACTTTAAGAGATATCTATCCATTTTTAGTGGGTGTTTCCTGGCAAGAATATGTTAACCGTTACCGGTGCGAATTGCGTCTGAATTTACAAATCGGAGGAAAGGGAGTCAAGCTCAGATAGAATATCTCCACTAATGACGTTTATACCATGATGACCAGCTGTGTAATACTGGTGGTAAAGTACATTTGGATGGTCATGTTGCATTCAGCTGTACTAATTCTATGTATCTGTCGTATAAAATAAAATATTTCAAACTTAAAGGATAAATTTAACTGTAAAGGGTTCAATACTTATTTACTCACAAAAGAGTTATTGATACTTTGTCAAAACGAGCTCTAAGATGCTCAGTGTTAGCATATCTAGAAAAAGGATACTCTTATAAATTGCTCCAAATTTCTGATGCCCTACGATGCAAAGAGTCAGGTTTGATATATAGGTCAGAAACAGGAGTCTGCCGAGTCTATCTAGCAGGCAGAGAACTGTTCACGCCCTCCCCCGCTGAACTGCATCAAGTATGTGTAATGTTCTTTAAGCAACAGCACCCCAGATTTTCGAACAGTATTCCACACTGAATCTGACCTGCGCTTTCTACAGATTCTGAAGATTTTGAATAAATGATTCCTTCTTCTTTCTGAGGGTAGAAGATTATGAAAATACTCAAGCTTTTTCTGAGAACCTTGAGGCGTAGGAAAAAAAATTCAATGAGCTCAAGAGTTTTGTAACGTAATCTTTTCAGTAAACAATGATACTTAAAACAGCATTTATGTATTGAGTTTAGATGAAAGGAAGACTTGAAAGTCGCTGTGTGATTGTGTGCCTACTGGGTACCATTTTTTGTGTACATAATATCAACGAAAATGATACGTGCACCCTGGTATTCGCTTACTGTCTCGCTTCTCGGCTACAAGAACCTTTTATTAGTATTTTGAAACCAAACTTTGCCTATAACTAGGCCTGTGTCTGAGCAATACTTTTCTATAGGGATCCATTCTCTTCCTTATTACAACCGTCAAAGGTATTTTTTTTCAAATCCGCCATGTCTTTATGACCACACTAATACATCCTTTTCAGACAGTGCACTTTACAACAGCGGAATGTGACTATTTCCGGTAGCAAAGGAATAGACGCTGTTCGTTTCTCACAAACTGACGCGATTCGTAGTGCCTTTTCTGTTTAAACGTTCCACTTTTACGTATTTCAACATAAACACAGATGTGTTTTGATTTTGGAATGCAAATGGTTCTAAAAATGACATGCAAGTGTCCCCTGCAGCTACGTGTTTACTTACGAATACGTTGACACTTTTTTCATCTTTCTTTTTGATGTTGTTGCCTTTATTTTAGTGTTTTTTTTAATGCAATCCGGTGTGCTTAGTGCTCTTGTAGCAATTTGTCCCCTGATGATGTGTCAGGTATGTTCGTCATGTCTAGGTTCTTCTTTTCATAATGGCCCATTATAGGCGAATAGAGCAACATTCATTTGAAGCTGGATTCAGACTTAGATTGTAGGTACAGTGTTTTTTAAAATGCCCCCCTCCCACAACTTATCTTTTGAACGAGTATAGGTAACAAGCTAAAATTTGGGGTCATGAATTGATGCACGAACACTATATTTTAACGTTGCAGATAAGCATTTCAGGATGGCGGTTGGGAGCCATCTCGGAACTTTTTCAATGTCAAGTCACTTAACACCCCACTCTTAAGCTTAATATCGGTACTTTATAACACAATCATATAGTATTACCATATTTAGAAAAATGACATAAGTATAAGCGTGTTTTACATTTTAACCTTTATAACTCAACAGACCACCATCAAAACGTAGTGTGTTATATCAATCGTATTCTCTTCAAATTATATATACAGTATTTGACAAAATATTGAACATTCCACTTAACGAAGATATCAAAACATGGAATATGTAAAATTTTGGTGATTAGTTATTGTGTTCGAGGACTCAATTTACAAAAGTGCTTAACTTTGACAGCCCGCCATCAAGCCACTTTAAAGAGTAATAAATGTATATACTCTGTGGTTATAAAATACTGATAAGGTACATAAAAATAAAGGATTGTGTACCCCCACCCCCATCCAATAAAAGAATGCCACCTCTGGATTTTCAGCTATCACATTCACATTAAAATATAGTTCTTAAGCAGCAATTCCAGTTCCTCAAATTGCAGCTTGCTAACAAATTCAGAAAATAATTAAAAAGAGCACTGTAAGCCGTTATGTAACTTACTATTAAGCTTTGCGGTGGAGTTCAAGCCCCAGTTATGAAATCGTTGTGCTATGGACAACTGTTTTTAGATTTTTTTATTGATTTCGGCAAGTTGATGATAGCCTATGTTAGTCCAAGATCTCAAAGCTTCCAGGCCACTTATTTTCTGAAAAAAAAACCTGGGGCATTGAGAGCGTTTATACTTATTCATGTATTTAGCAACCTCCAACAGACAAAACCTATTACAGGATGGATAAACATGAAAATAAAAATAAATCAATGCATCTAAGTGGAGGATGTGTTGTAGAGAAAGTTGGAACGTTGAAAACAACCTCAAAACAGTACTCCCAAGAAAAAGAGCGTTCTAGCTTTACCTACCCACCACTCAACAATCAACCCGGGTACAGTTATGCAAGCGTTAACGAAAATAGGTATTAATGGTTCCCGAAGTCAAACAAAACGAAAATACATCTAAAACGCTATTCGCTATTCTGTCAGATGATTTAAACAAGGTTTCGCGCTAAATTTACTTGGTACCAGCAAATGGGCCCTCTACCCAATTTAACAGGTACACAGACGTTGAAAGTACATCATATAAACGCTATTGATTGACCCACATTTTTTATTTCGCGATAATCAGTAACGTCTGGCAGCGGGATCCCACACTGTTTGATGTCGCAAGTTATACCAGTGTGAAGAAGTAGCTTTAAAATTTCAGTATAAGATACCTTGGTTACCTATGAAAAGCTGTGGCTATTAAGCCTTAACTTCATTAAACCCAGAATGAGCAGGAACCGTATAAGTGAAATTTTTGAAAGGAATGTCCTACAATCACATACAGAATTATTAACACATAGTCCATACTCACCTACTCATAATTTTATCCGAACCGAACTGTTACTTTTCAGATCCTTCCGATATTCTTTTTCTAACGCTGTCTCTAACGAGATCGTGACTCTGGTAACGGGTAATCTTTGAATCGCTTGGAATAAATTAAACGAAGCAGTTTATAAAAAAATCTTTAATTATCATAAATTAAGGAATACTTTACATATTCAACAGTCTTCACTTACATATGAGTAGGAAAAAAGTTTATTTACAGAGTGCTTAAAATTAGTGACTAATAAGCGTTCAGTAAGTGGCGAGAACCTAAATTGCGGTTTTTCATTACAAAGAAGTACTTAATTGATATTCCATAGTACCAAATGACGGACTTCGCCATTTACACAGTCATATAGATATTGTTTATCTATTCGAAAATTAAAGTTCAACATGAGTGACAAGTTATACCGTTAAAATTTCTAATAACGGACTACAACCTGAATTTACTTCCAATATTTTAAATACTAAGTAAATCACAAAAGATTTAAAAAAATATAACAGAAATGAACAAACGGATTTTAGGAAAATCGAAGTTTTAAAACTAGTATTAAGATACTATAAGTTGTTCAATGTACCCTGAAGTAGAGGAAAATAAACAATTTCATAACGCCTACAAGTAGATCTAATTTTTGTTCCTCTTATATATTAGAAAATGCAATCCAGGTTCTCAAAGTAAGTGGTACTAATCGTACGTCACAAATAAATATCATCTCATAAAATATTTACAAAATATATACATAAATCTGCTTTATTACATAGTAATTTATTATTTTTGCTAATTATGACAAAATCTTCGCGTTCTTGTCCGAGAGATCGTTACAAGTTTTAGAACGTAATTAACTGATATCTTAGAATAAAAGTCTATAAGTCAATATCTATTTAGTAAGGACTATGTAACCTCATTTTTTTGATATAAACAATGAATTTTAAAAGCAAATTGTGTATCAAAGAGGAAGAGGATAAAAGAGGACATACAATAAAGAAGAGATATATTAGCTTATTTTTGATTGCAGAGATAAAGAATAAACCAAAAATACCAGCAAGGGTCATGGAAGTTACTACCACCGTATGATGAATCGCAAAGTGAATATAGTAGAATTGACAATCTTTTATCATTTGCATCACAATGTAAGAAATTATTCCACATATTTTTGCTGGTTGGAGATTACCTACTCATTGCACTAAAAATAAGCTAAATACAATTTTGTAACTGAATTAAACAATGATTCTGCAGAATTAACGCCTGGTTTAGCCCTAAGTGAATCCTCCAGATACAACATGAAACCAGTGACTGTAGTCACAAAATGAGTGAAACCTAAAATAAGCTTTACAGCTAAAAAAACGAAGCACCGATTATCTGTTAAATGATTCAAGAGACATCATCACAGGCAAATTTTCAAAAGCAGGCTTCCAACCGGCAGTAACTATTTTTAGAAATCTAGTAATTCCGTTTCAGTGCGATGATGAACAGTAATAGAAAGCTCCCAGTTACAATTTAACAAAGCAATTTGTAACGATAAATGATCTGTAACGATCTAAACAATTTTTTCCACAAGGCGTCAGCAAAGAGAAATTTAATGTTTGTGATAAAGCACGCACAGCGCTCGAACTGTTTTGTCTCAACTTCAACATTCGAGACGGTGTTTGTATTTAATTTTAAATGTAACAGGCGATAGTGCTGACAACGTGTCGGTAATTGGTTGTACTGGTGTGAAATATTGAAATAGTAGGTGGAATTGACTTAACACAAAGGGAAATGAACTTAGTATCAGCAGCAGTGAGTTATAGCTTCTATATGCTTTCTTACCATCCAGATTTGTAGCTTTTACGTAAGCTTTTAAAGGTTTGAATAAAATAAACAGAATGAATATGCATATATGAAATGATGCATATAAGAAAACATTTTTTGGAAGCTTTATCAACTCCAAGAAAATACACATATGACTGCTTAAAAAATATAAATAAAGTCTTGATGCACTCACTAGATAAAAAGTATATTTCTTTGTCTTTAGATATCAAGAAATGATACCAAAATCCAAACCCTTGCCGTGAATTTACATCCAAGGTGCAAATGGTACCCTTAAGGACACACACCTCCTTTTTTCAACTACCTATTTGGAGGAGATACTTTTCAACAGATCATTTCCTGTTGACTAAAAAACAATGTTATAATTTTTTCATCACAAAATATTGAGCATACTTTTTTCAATCGTAACCCGATCACAAAGATTAGCACAGCTCTGAAATTGTATGTGAGTAATTCACTTTTAAAGTAGAATTAAGCCGATAATTACTTCTTTCAATCATTTTTCTTTCTACAATGAAGTTTGCTTTTCTTAGAAACTAATTTTGCAGCAAAGTGGTAAAAGAAAAAGTTCATTTCTGCTATAAAAGTGAAATATTAAAATACAATTATATTAATTTGTTATCAAGTAACGGTCGAAGAAAAAATCTATGAAAAATGCATTTTTCGACAATAAAATTGATGAAACTGTTTTTCTATCATCTCTGTACACACCATGAAGCAATCAGACGAAAAGTGCTAAGAACGCTCCTACAAACATGCTATTGAAAACAAGAAGTGTGCGACGTTAACGCTCTCTCTTTTTTGGGACAAACTGATCACTTGGAGACATAAAGACCGACTGATGCAAAATATGTGTAATCCATTAGCAAAACATTAATAAAGTACTCACTTTCTGGAGCTCCGACGTGCACAAAGTGGTGGTGGATATCACAACTGATTTTCACTTCACAACCCCGCACAAAAATGAGATATTGACATTCAGCTAGACATTCTAGCACCTGTAACTTTTTCATCACTTGGACAAACATAAGTAAAAACAGCCTTTGAAAAAACATTTCTAAAGTATTTGACCTTAACGGACTAAAGTATCCATTATCTCTTGAATTACAGCGTCGGGAATTTGAAAATCAACCTCATAGGTATAGGCTAATTTCAAGCAGACAATGAACAATCTTATTTCCATTGTATGAGATTACATATACAACCTTCAACTGACACACTTTATACCACGGTTCATCATACAAAATTTCGAATAGTGATACCGATGCTCTCAAACTGTGCGCGGTTTTGGTAATAAGACCATCCGTGATTCTCATTTTTCCTTTTCTGTGTCTTCCTCAATTATTGCAGTCTTCTCAGTACGTCACACATGGCAACATTTGCCTCTAACTTCTGGCCTTCGTAGCAATCAGTTGCAAGTGCGAAAGCGTCATATGTACATTACTATAAGCTTCAAGTATCACAGAGCCTATAGCGTTTCGCCTGAACATTCTTCAATTTCATCATTCACTATCACAGAAACCACGTTCAGGGGCTCTTATCTATGGTCGTAAAGCCCGTATAGCAATTTCGCTATTTGACGCCGACTCTGGCGTTGATTATCCCCTCCTTTCATACGAAGTACGTCCTACTTTGCGGCTGCGTGTCCGGAATGGTTGAATACACATGATGGGGCGGCGCTTGCGTGTACTGCGGCGGACCGCCCCTCTCACTGATGCTGACGTAGCTGTGGTTTAATTGGTCGCTGCCGTAGTGCTGGCTGCTGGCGCTGCTCGCGGCCTCTTCCGAGTCTTCGGCAGCCGTGCTGCGATTGGACTCCCCTCCAGAGACGTACGTGCTTTGCGTTGGGGTGGGGGTTAGAGCTCCGTGAAGGGCGGGATGAAGTTGATGGGCGGGGTGAGTAGCGTGGAGTACCCCAGGGGGCATCGGTTGGTACTTGTACCAGGAGTCGCCGCCGTGGTGGGATGTCGGAGCTGAGGTATACCTGAAACAAACAAACAAAAATTAGTATGATAGGAGATAACAATCAAATTGAGTGTTTGATACATTTCAAGGCAAATCCATGCTATACAATTTCTCACAGGAGCTATTCAACTATTTCTATGTTCCATCGTATCACCCTCTGGCTTAGGATTCTCTAATTATCTAGAAGGTCATGGTTTAGAAAGTACCACGTATTTCTATAAATTCTCAACTAGACCTACCTATTGACCGGTTTACACCGGATTTCCTGTTGGTGGTGTTTCTTCCCTCTCCTAGCAGCCGTCACCACATCCGGCATCGCAAATCGCAGCTTCTCCCAGAATCTGCGCTCTCCCCACCGCGTTACAGCACATGCGCGCAGTAACGCACGCAGTTCGGGGTCCATCGGTTCCAGGGGATCCCCGCTCAGGACGCAGACGAGTTTATGACGGTAGGTCGCCCTAAGGGCCGTCTGAAACAACAAAAAGGAAGATTTAAATGATTGTGCAGAACATCGGAATCGATTGTTATATTATCTTCTACAAAAGGTGGGTCGACCGTATCTCAGAATGTAGTGCCACATACAAATCTGACTTAACAATAGTCTGCCTAACTTTATCGCTATCTTTTGACTCTGACTTGAGGAGAAGGCAGCTTTAATAGGCAATCTCTTGAATGTATGTAAAACACTAACAGTTTTTTGAAAAAACGTTCTACGGAGCTCCTCTGCAAAGGTACAATTCCTTAGAGACCGCTACTGGATCTTCTTGAATATGTTTTGAACGACACTATATTATAATCTGAAGAAATTTTGACATTTGGACATAACATAAAAAATTACTTCTTAAAATCGCCAGGGAATAGCTTAGGTGACGTATTGCTGATTTATTTATACCCATAATAAGGCTGGAGAATACCATTTTTGGGAAGTCTAGTCCTTCAGCTTTGACAACGTGTTTTCGTTTAATTTACAATTATCTTTTTTCAATACATTCCTAACGGTTTAAATAAACGTCTTAAAATCAACAGTATCTACCTGTAACGCCGCCCTGAAGTCAGGCCTCGCCCACTCCGTCCTCATAAGGGCGGGACTAACAACGAACAACACCCTCCTGGAGGCGTCTGCTGCCCCCACCATTGCATCGGCGAGGTACGAAGCACCGCCTACTAGATGGAGGTCGCGATAATGCAGGCACAACGTGTGGCCGAGCTGCTCCAGCTCGGGAGCTATCAGGCGAGCAGCCAGATCCTCATCCTTGTGGCTGTAGACCATATAGCAGTCGTAAAGTCTGAAACAAGGAGAAAATATTTTGAGAAGCTGTCGAAATAACATTTATCTTTATTCCAAATGAGCCCACCGTTCAGGAATTACTCAATAATCAGCGCAGTATTAGCATGTATTAGACGCAGCGAATATAAAAATGTGGTACTATGATCCATTCATTAATATACTAATATATTCGTGTCACAAAATTTTTTAGCAACTAAAATGCAGTCTATCTATACCGAGAGATGTTTTCGAAGATCATTCACTTGAAAGTTTCTTGGAATAAAATGATTTATGTTGCGATTGTTAGTATTTTCGTTTTTCCCTTTACTGCATAATAAGGTCCCGATTATCATAAACAGTAGCAGATTATATGAAGCAAAACATGTGTCATATTATAATACTCGTATAATTATTGTTAGAATCGAGCCGCAAATGAGTCAAAAAGTTACTGAAAGTTTTAGCCGAAGTATGCTCATCTGTATAAACAGCTGAAGGGGCACCTGAATGGAGTTCTAGCAATCACAAATAACGCTGACACAAACGCTACCGTGAGTCAAAAGAAGTTGACTGGCTTAAATGTCAAAACAACGTTGAACTTTTGGTTTACGCAGGCGGCATTTGTAATCTCCAAATCCCTCGATTATTTACAAAACACAACATTGTACCTCTACATTCTTAAAACAATAACAGCCATATTTTTTTTTAAACAAAATCAGGAAGCATTACAGAGACATCTTTTGCTTTGTACCCCATCCGCAGGAACATAATTGGCGCAAAAATACATAGTGTGCATTCATCCTACACTTCCAACACTTCCGTCAAAGACATACGGTGCAAGATCAACATAGCATTGCTGGAGCAGGTTTATTCCATGGTCAGTTACCAGTAGATTCCTTCTGGAGTAGTACAGTGTTGATACAAAAGAGGTCAAAAGTGGCCTGGTTGAAGGGATCCGCCTCTGCACCACTACTTCTAATACCGGTTCTTTAAAAATCATAAAGGTCATCTCAAACTACCAGGACTTTCAACCCATGTATATCAAAGTACTCCGGAAGCAAGGCTGTATGGTATCTTTTTGAGAATACAAGATTCTCGGAATCTATAATTCAAAAAGATGACAATTAGTAACACCCGTATGAACACATTACTCTGAGACAGCCAAATGATATGCACATATATTTCTTTCTTTCAGCACTACAAAAAACATCCACTAAACTCGTCAGGACGTGTACAATTCCGAGCTTCTTGCTTACGCGTTTAACCTCTGACGTCATAGTCATAAAGAATAAGTACTCGTACATATTGTGCACTGTAGCACATGCATGATGTCAGAGACAGACGATTTTATCACAAAAGACACTTTTAGGCGATGAAGCCGTCATCTGGCTGTCGTGAAACACGAGAACACGCTGGAACTGGGTCGTAGTAAATTCTTTACCATCTTGCTTCATTGAATTTTTAAAATTTTACTTTGGGCCAAAACGGATAATCTGGCAGAAAATTAATTTTTTACTGACGAAAATCGACAGAGACCGGAATTCTTTGTAATTAATGTTAATATTGATTAATATGCTCCTTTGTCTTTCTTCATTATGGGGCATCTAATATTTAGTTCGGTATTCAACCGGGTTTTTCAGTAATGGTATCGTTTTTAAATTGAGAATAATGAGCGCTATAAGATATTACTCCCTCCGAAAGTTGATTATACAGGAAACACAAGATAGATTATGTTTTTTTTTTGAGTTTTCATTGAATTGTAAAGTAGGGTTTATTCATGGAATAGCAGATCGGACGAACGGCCTAATTTTTTCAGGAGTATTTTACATAAACATGGCCGAATTCAAAGTTTTCCTTCACAACTGAGCCTGATGGAGTAGACATTTAACTTCAAATAACCACATGTGAAGTAATCAAATGGTGAGAAATTACATGATATGGAGGGCCAACTATATTCAGCAAAACAAGGGAGTACACGGCCAGAAGTTAAACTCGGCTGCAGGGTATGTGGAAGTGTCTTGTTCCTTTCTTTTTTGTCAGAGCGGTCCGTAGGACCCTTGATCATGGTTCGGATGGCAGGCCAGTAAGTCTATCAGGTCTGGTTGCCTAGATTCTAGGTAGATACACTTGACAATCGCTGGGGCAACGGACATCATGAGTGAAAAGGGAATAGCGTATTGGTACGTGAACTGAACCCTGAGGGACACCGGCTCTGATGGGCGGTACTGTCGAAAAGACATTATTATACTAAGTGACATATAAATCCGAACACGCAGTTTAAATGGTTTTATTTTAATAAAAGTTGGTGAATGTATTTATCTTACTGTAAATAACAAGCGAAACAATTTTCAGCCTTATCAGTTGGACATTCCGGTTTTTATACTGCTTTTTTTTATTTCACTAACACTCTAAAAATGAACATTAAAGAATCAACGTTGGCGGATTTTGGTTCTTGACATCCTTTACGATCGGTTACGATGCCTAGAGTACGGAGACCTGTACGACTTCGTCAACTTAGTGAGTTTGATAGGGGCCGTATAGTGGGACTTCGGGAAGCTGGACTTTCTTTTCGGGCAATTGCAGTTAGAGTGCAAAAAAGTGTAGACATTGTGGTTAGGTGTTGTCAGGCATGGCTTCGAGAAGGCCGTACGCAAAGAGCAAGGGGAACTGGACGCCGCCGTAGAACAACAGACCGTGAAGATCGCCGCCTAAGATTATTGGCCTTAAGGGACCGTTTCTCCACTACCAGGTCCATTACAAATGAATGGTTTGCAGAACACGGAAGACCCATTGGCAAGCGAAGTGTTTACCGACGAATGAGAAGTTTTGGCTTGTTTTCATACCGGCCACACTGGGTCCTCCCTTTAACTCGAGAACACCGACGTAATCGCCTTGAGTGGCGCAGACGACGGTCACTCTGGGATCAGGAATGGAACAGTATTGTCTTTAGTGACGAGTCTCGATTTTGTTTAGGCATGCACGATGGTCGTGCCAGGGTTAGAAGGCGACGTGGTGAAAGGAGGAATCCACAGTTTTTTGTTGAAAGACATGTTCATCACACTGTTGGAGTTATGGTTTGGGGTGCTATAGCTTATGGTTCCAGGTCACCTTTAATCTTCATCAGAGGTAACATGAACGCGCAGCGTTATATCCACGAAGTTCTAGAACCCTATATTTTACCCTATCTTGACACCCTGGCAGATCCAACTTTTCAACAAGATAATGCCCGACCACATGTTGCAAGAGTCATAATAGACTTCTTTCAACATAATGATGTCACATTGTTACCATGGCCACCAAGATCTCCCGACTTATCCCCAATTGAGCACGTGTGGGATATGATGGGTAGGAGATTGCTCAATTTGCAACGTCCTGCTCAGACTGTAGAAGCACTTCGGGAGGAGTTGGTGGTTGTCTGGAATGAGATACCACAGGAGGACATTGATCACCTGATCAGAAGCATGACTAGGCGCGTTGGAGAATGCGTAGCACATCAGGGTGCATCCACACATTATTAAAGGTCAAAGGGCTTTAAAGCAGTGCAATCATTTTGAAATTTTTATCATTTACTTATTATGCTTCATTAAATACTTATACAAAATTTTATTAAAATAAAACCATTTAAACTGGGTGTTCGGATTTATATGTCACTTAGTATAATTTTGATTTGAAAAACATACCTTCAAGAAAGGATTGCAAAAGTCTTAGGAGCCAAAGTGTTACTTTATCTAGACCAATATTATTCAATTTAGAGAGAAAGAAGCCCACATGGGAAAATCAAATGCTGCATCAAAAGAATTCAATCCAAATTGGCCATGGAAATGGACGAAAGATCCAGCAAAAACGAGGAGATCATTTGCCTGATGTATGTTGATAACTCTATCCTGTGTACTTTATGACCAATCAAAGAAATGACAATCTAAAGGAAAAAACTGTGTTTTCTATGCAATTTAAATGTTAAGTAAACTTTTTTGGACACTGTAGTATGTAGTTGCAAATTATTGTTGAGCCTTTGATCCATGGTTCAACACAACCAAGAACTCATCTCTTCTCTACATTGGCGGCGTTGATAAAGGGAAAGAGTACTATTTCTTATATCTATCAACTATCTAAGTATCTTGTGACGAATACCTTTACGTATTACGTCTTCTGAATCATCAAATTATATAGTAAATATTATTGTAACCGAAATAAGATAATTCGGTTGTTGGACATGAAATATTGAATAAAACGAAATAACCAGCTTGGCTTTCTATCCGCATGACTTAACGAAAAAATTGTAGCCTTAGGGACAAGATTCTTCAATAGAACCTAGCAAGGAGAAAAAGAATGATTATAGTGTTACGCTGCTAAGAGGCACTTAGAGCATAGTTATTATATCCATCGTAGTTGAAACAAATGAATATTTTAACTGGGTTGAATGGGATATTTTTTGTTGTTGTTTCGCTTTATCCAACCTAGAATCAACAAGGTATGAATATGTCGAACGGGTGCTCACAAAACAGATATTCTCAAAATTTCATTCACTTCCTTTTCAATAAGACCCATGCAGATTGTTAGGCCTAGTTTTAATATAAAGCGATTGAGATTAACTTACGATTACACAACATACGAGTATATGGATTCTGATCTTAGTAAATACTAACATTCATAGGGCGCGCTTTGAGAGGACTTTTGGAACGACGAACAAGGGTGATGAATGTGGTGTTTCTGGATGTCTAACAGTTCAAAATCAAAGCGAATAAAATCATAGCATAATTTTCACCAATTTCCAGAAGTTTGATTGATTTGAAACTGCGCACGCGTACCAAAGACCGATGACAATGCAATAATTTGATATCAGTTTTCCATTCTCCTTATTAGGGCCGCCAGGATTGATAAGTTCTTTTATAGACCGTCTGTAGGAGAGTAAGAGAGGTAGAGCTAGCGCGCGATCTGCGCATGCGTGCAGTTTCGGACTTACTCTTAGTAAATTGAAGCTTATGTAGCACTTAGTCATGTAAGATCTTTAGATGGTGTTCGGATTGAAGAACTTGATTGCTCTAAGTTAACAGGAAAAACCCCATGCAACAGTGAACCTTTACGTGAAATGATAAGATTACGGAATGATTCGTAAGACATTTCAATACCACATGCTCACAAAAAACTAATTGATAAATCGAACTAAAAATTGAAAAATAAAAAAACTAAAAAACACGCTTTTATAGCTAACCGAACTAAAAAGTAGAAAATAATTTTCAATTACAAGAGTTTATATTGCAGTAGTAGATCGTCGAAAAATCAATCATAATGAATGACCTCAAAATAAAACTATAATAAAATTTAAGTTATTAATAGAATAATTCAATTCCCAGTAAAAAGCGTGGGGTGCATTTTACTAAATTTTCATAGCTCTCGTCTCATAGATATTTGCCAGTAGAATTATTGTAATATTTAATATATCGAGCACCTCACGCTTTTAACATTGCATTATTCTGTTAATACATAACTTAAATTTTATTATAATTTTATTTTGAGGTCATTAATTATGATTGATTGTTCCACCATCTACTACTGTAATATAAATCTTGTAGTTAAAAATTATTTTGATTTAAGGTGTTTTACAGGAATTTGGTTTCATGGTGACAGACAATGTAAGCATTAGAGTCTTTTGATTGTGCTAAGAGTTTTTCCTCTAAAAACAAGGACAAATCAGTAAGTCATGGTATTACAGGGCTATTTATTGCTTTTTTCGTTGCACTTCTGAGCGATATGTAAATAAAACCTTTTGACATACCGAGGATGTCCATTTCCCCGTATAACAGGATACAGAAGAGCTTATTTCGGCCTATCAAGTTCAAGAATCTTATTGTGACCGTTTCTTTAAAGTTATTCGATATAATTCTATTAGAAAAGAAGAGGAATAATCTAAACCTGAGAGATGGGATACAGATTTCCGTCCAACAGGCCTTAAATCCATACCGGTTTACATTTTAGAAGAATAACTTTTCTACCTGAGCAGGGTCAAAGTCATGGGAGAGAAGGATACCATAAAGCCTGTTGTGTGTTGTGCTATGTGTATTTTTATTTTTTTATCCGACCGTTGCACTTTCATTCAATGATAAATGAAGCTTATTGTGTTATGCAATAGTAGGTGTAATCGTAACCAATGTCATGACACTTTCAGTGATGAATGATTGTGAAGTTGATTTTGGTTTTTTGTTGCAGATTGCACTGGTAGCTTTTGACTGTACGGTGTTGCATAACGGCTGATCAGAAAAAGCTAATTTCACTATTTATTTGTTATTTGTGCTGTCTTCATTGGAACTTTAATATTAGCTATACTTGAAAACCGAAGTTCTCCTAGTAACCGAGAATGTAAATTATAAAAATGCATCGTAAAGAGGAGGAAATACGGGCTGAAATTATTTATTCATATTTCATGCATGAAAAGTATCAAAAATAACAGAACGTTGATGTACAAGTACAGACTTTAGATTTGAAAGTATTGAAATGAGGAAACCAAAGAAAATGTCGAAAGTGATAGATTGTCAATGAACAGTATAATAGGGAAGATGGACTATTGAAAAAAAAGAAATTACATTGTCTCATTTAATATAGGCATAAACATGACTCTATGTTCGCATGGCCAAATGTGAATTACTTATTTACATGTCGGCCACCATGGTCGAAATGTCAGTAATGTAGTAACTTACAGATATGTGGTGTCATTTGTCCAGACAAGCACGGAGTCTCATCAGCATGAATACCGCAGGATAAACTTCAGGAGTTACAATGGTCATTAACGTCAATAATAATGCTATCAAGTCAAAAGGGAATCATGTTAAAAAGGCGCATAATAATTATCCACTTCTTGAACCTAGTCACTATGTCAAAATATGGACAGGTGATTTAGAATAAAATTTTATTCTGGTTTCACAATCCTCTATGATTTATAATTTCAAATACCAAACTCATATATGTAACTTTTTTGGCATGGCATGAGCTACATCTATATCGGTATATTACTTAAGGCAACGCATACTTTTCGATCATTATCATGGAATGTTAGCATACTGTTCAAATATTGCATTACAGAGCGCTCCATGATCTTCTCACCAAACTAATCCACATAAAGAGAAATCTATGATACCACTAACGTCGTAATGTGTACGAGAGAGAAGCGCGAGAAGCGTTCAATACGTATGTTAGAAAGAGATAGAAGCACCACGTTGCCTAGCAACCCCAATGTGAGGCTTGCCACGTTATAATCGAGGCACTTTTTCTAACAAATGTATTGCACGCTCTCCGCACTTCTCTCTGTTACACGTTACCACGTCAGTGATATTTTGATTTCTCTGTATGTGTGAATTACTCTGTACTGACGTCAATATTCGTGCTTTGAAAAATTAATAAATCAAAAAATGGTAAGTGATAAGTGTAATATATTTACAGAACATATTAAACCCTGTTTTTCTTTATTCCTTCTCTGAGTTTGCACAAGGTTCGGAGTTTCGTTACCTTTTACAGTATGTTATCTTTTCGTCTTGTTCACGTCTCGGTTAACGTTAATTCATAACCACACACTTAGACATCAGTTCGGTTTCAAAATGAAAGGCAGCATATTAATCCTATGGGTATTTTGACGAAAAAATAAAGAGAACCAACAGTCAACGCCGTTAAATAAACTGGATTTGATCAACCAGAAATGTAATAGTGTGCACACACTGCACCAGTGAACCAGTTAATTACCTTTTGCGACATCATATCCTCTTCTAACCAAGTTATACATGACCTCGCTTTCGTTCCTTAGCACTTTTAAACATGACTCAGTACGGTTTATTGAAACTTATAATTGTACGACTAGAAAACCTGCCGATTTTTGAGTATCAATAAACATCTTGATCAATCAACGGACTTTTGAAAACTATTTGATTCAAATAAGTATGTCAGGCTCTCTGAATGATAAGTTTCCATTATGATTTGGAAGGAATACGATCGGGTGATAAATATGCGAAAAATAAAGAAAAACTAACATAACTACTATAGGTTGATACATGATATAAATTGATTCAGCCTTACTGAACCATCAACAGCAATTAAGTGCTAATGGCTATTTTAAGTAAGTAGTAAGCAATTGCTTATTTATTTTAATGAACGACCTTCACATCTAATAACCTACCGCTGAGTCTGCAGTCTCATATAATTTACTGCTGTTGTCGACTTATCCATAACATTGTTAAAAACCTTGTGTTCTGTACTTTCCTATATTTTATTTATCATATACTGTCTTGGCATTCTATATCCAAATGTCCGAGCTCGTTCTCAGCTTTCGAAACCTTTGATAAAAATGAAACATAATTAACGATTGCTAAACGTCAATACCGGACACTAGATTCTCAAACAGAATGATTAAAACCATTGATAAAGACGTAACCACTCAAACTACCTGGATATCTAATATTTAAATCTAAATGCATGTGCCACTTGTCCAGTAAGAAAAATAGATACCCTGTAAAAGCACATGTTTATAAAACTTTTCGACCTTACTTTTGAACGTGAAAGTTATTCTCACATACAAAACACGTCCAGAGCTTTAGAAGACCGCTAAAACAGTTTTGACCAGATTTCCGATTCTGTACTCGATAAATTTCGATGCCACAAATGCTGATTATGGCTATTGTATTACTATGTTTATGAAGAGCATGGTCAATAAAAAGATAACAAGATGACTAACCTGTCTCTGTCATCAGCTCCATCATGCGCGGACGCGACATCCTGGAATATCCTGACACCGTACTTGGAGTGCGCCCACAATCTCACCTCCTGTCTAAACACAAACATGATGGCCACGATGAGACACACCACGATCACTGCGACCAAAGTCCCTGCTAGCAACGGCACATAGCTGCCTGCAATCAGCTGCGGCTGTTTGACAACTTCCCTCTGGACGACCGAGGTGGCTATCGCATTGTCCATGTCATCACATCTACCTAAAACGTCAGCTACCGTTTCTCCTTCACCCCCAGAGCAAAGCATCTTCGATGGATCGCTCCCTGTCTCCCGGATCCAGGATACCAGCCGAGCCAGGGCATCGCACTGGCAAGACCACTTGTTGCCGTCTAGAGAAACACGTGGAGTTGCGTCTTCCACCAGCTGCCACGGACTGAGGTTCACGATTTCGTTTTCGTCTAGCTTCAGTACCTCCAGTTGATGCATATTTCTGAACGTTTGGTTACCGACGTGAGCTATTTTGTTATGATCTAGGTAAAGTTCGTTTATGTTGGGTAACTGATCGAACTCGTATCCTCTCAATTCGTCCAGTTCATTGTTTTCCATGTGCAACACTTTCAAGGAACTGACACCATTAAAAGTCCTGTTGTGCAAGGCTCTCACATTACTGTTATTTAAAAACAACACCTCTAACTTTTTCTTTCCGATGAACACGTGACTTCCCAGCTCCCCTAGATCATTGCCATCGAGATAAATTTCAGTGGCATCCATAGGAATTTTCTCAGGTACCATCGTGTAACCAGCGTTACTGCAATCGACGACGTTTGAGGTCCAGGTCATGTCGTGGAAACAGGTACAACGGTCCGGGCACGTCATCTCACAGTCGCACGCGTCAAAATCACAACAATGGCACACTGTAAAGCAATGAGTCTCATATGGGCATAGGAAGTTCGAAGGCTTGAGGCTCAACAAAGGCTGCGGAGGTTGACCTCTGTTATGTGCTAGTTCGCAGGTGATGGCATCCATATCCAAAACTTGTGGGTAGTGTCTCAGGTTACTCAAGCGGTTGATGTTTAGTAGCCACTCCATTTTGCAATCACAGTAAAACGGGTTATCTCCTAGATAAAACTGAGGCAAGTCCCTGTCGTTTGTCACGTTACTCAAACTCAAAGCTGACAACTCGAGATGTTTGATATTGTTACCGTACAGCACGACTTTTTCTAGGTATGGTTTGTTATGGAAGGTATTAGGCAACACAGTCGTAATCTTGTTATTGTTCAAGAACAGCGTTTCTATGCTGTCTGGTACCGAATTTTCCTTTATCTCTTCGATCAAATTATAGCTGACGTCAAGCATCCTAATTTTGAGCGTGTTTCTGACATCGTAAAAGTTCCCGAGTTCAGTGACCTGATTGTCGTGCATATCCAACCATTCCAAACTCACAGGCAAGTGACTAAAATCGAACCACATGAGTTTATTCGATGATACGTTCAGCCACACCAGCGATTTGAGATTCGTAAAAACTCCACTAATGTCAGTTAACTCATTAGCGTCTAGACGGATGGCCTTGAGAGTCGGGTTGCTCGAAAAAGCACTCTGTTCGACATACTTGATTTTATTGGATGCTAAATTTAGTACCTGCAGAGAGGGTAGAGTCGAAAATGCGTCCCTTGAGATATTCACGATGTGATTGTCTACTAAGCGAAGCCCGTACAGCAGGTCTAAACCTTCGAATGACGAGTTGGCCACCGATTCGATGTGGTTCTTACCCAAATCTAGCGTTTTCAGAAAGCGCAATTGCCCGAGACCGCTCGGTATCGTTCCTAATCGATTTCCATTCAATATGAGGTCTTGCAGATGGGTCATATTTTCAAAGGAATTCGGGTGGATGAACTCAATGTCATTTTGGTCCAGAGATAATTGATTTAGGGCGTACATCCCCGAAAAGTGGTAGTTCTCGATGCGTGTGATTTTGTTGTAGGATAAGGTTAATGCGTGCAAGTTCTTCAGTTCCGAGAAGGCTCCTTCGGCTATTACACTGATACGGTTCTTTTCGAGGTTCAGAAGTTGAAGGCTGTACAGATCGTGGAACAAATTTGCGTCTATACGAGTCAACTGGTTGCTTGCTAAGTTCAACACGACCAGTCTTACTAGACCAGAGAACGTATCTCGATTCACCCACTGACTGTTTAATTCGTTGTGAGACAGGTCCAAAATGTTAAGTTGATCCAATCCTTCTAAAAGTCCTGGCGCCAGGACGCTCAACGAGTTGTTGTTGAGGTACAGGTGACGAAGTCCTCTGGATGACTGGAACAGCTCTGGAGGTAGAGCAACCAAAAAGTTGCTGGACAGATTCAAAGTGATGAGGTTGGTCAAACCAACGAAGGCTCTATCCCCCATGTTCGACAGAGCACTGTTTTGGAGGTGCAGTTCTTCGAGAGATCGTAGCCCTGAGAAGCCATTGTCGAGCAAAGTTATGATATCGTTGTACGAGAGGTCTAGAGTTTCCAGTCCACTAACGCATGCACGACCGGGAGCGAGAGGTCCATTGCCCCAATCTGAGAATCCCATCCCCGAGACATTCTGGAGCTTGTTACGAGTAAGGTTGAGATGAGTCAGACTGAAGAGTGGGCAGAATAAGTCTTCTGGAGTATTCCAAATATTGTTATCACCAAGGTCCAAACTTCGAAGTTCTGCAAGTCCCCTGAAGCTCTCGGGATGTAGTTCCAAAGTCATCGCCGACCATTCTGAGTTGTGTGATCGGAGCGAGAGTCTTCGTAAATGCCGCAACGGCGACAGTGCGGCACCAGGAATGTTCCTTATTTTACAATTCTCCACTCGCAGGTCTTTCAGTTTCTTCAAGCTAGACAAGAAGTTTCCTTGTCTCGGCGTCTCCAACGAGCTTTCAAAGAACAACACGTCGTTGCATTCCAATGTAAGAACGCTAACACGATCGGACTCCGTTTGGCTCATGTTCCTCAGCAGCGCCTCCGCTGTGTTGATGGTGCGTATCTGACAGTACAATACCGGCTCTTCGATACTGTCGTTCTCCTGAAGTTCCATTCGCCATTCGCATCCTCTGGGCGGCGAGTCCACTCTGGAGAGACTCCTCGCGTCCACCACTGACACCAGCACAGCACTTACAACTAACCAGATCATTGTTATAACTATCTCGTTCACTTCACTTTAGATCATCTCATCGCGCGTAGACGGACGTTCACGAACGAAGAAGCGGAGATGCACGACTGCTCTCTTCGAGTTACGCTCCGCGACTGACTAGCCGGCTGTTGCTCGCCGCTCCGCAGTTGTTTCTGGGGCTCCGCCCCTTTCCCACTCCGCGGTGCTCCAGCTGCTTAGGACGCCGCTGAATGGAGAATGTCACGTGTACTTTGGAAATTATACAATGTGTAAATTGCAATATGCTCCCCACCACAACTCGGTGGTTATGTTTTTGATGTGTGTGTATGGCATCGCGGTTGTTCGATCCTCTTTTGAGAAGACAGACGCCATTTTTTTTCAAGGTGGACATGAAGAAATCGTCTTATTAAACGGTTGTTCACCTCAAGCATCTGATATTTTGTTGTGCAATACATATATTTTTATGCTTTATGTAGATATAGGTATTGTTTAAATCCTTTCTATCAATTGGTGTAAGGATATGTATCCTTTCAATTATTTTGTGACACATTTTCGCCACTGGTTTCTGTCAGTATACCTGCTTCATTGTGCACTGATGGTCTTCCTTTCCGTCGCTTAAGTCTTACATACGGCTGACCTTTCATTACCTGTCTTTTCTAATCCATCCTGTTCACATGACCAAACCACACTGAAAAATAAAATTACATAGCTTATCGTAGGCAATGTTGTAACCAACGTTATGTAAAAAATATTTTACACAGCATGTACTGCATATTTTTCACATATGATCCAATATATTCAGAATTCGTTGTGTTAAAATACATTAGTTATCGGAACGCAGTCCATGATTCATGAAATCTCATAATATATTATTTAGTATGTAGTCTTGATTATTTTTTTACATAACTCGTTATACAATTTACTGTACAGAGTATCCCACATATAACAGATGATCATTATAGTTATGCTTGGGCGTGATTGAGATAACACCATACGCCTTTGAACTACAAAAAGAATAACTGCACTAAAATAAGCAGCATATTGTAACCGTTTAAAATACAAATCAATTAAAAAAAAAGAACCTCCAAAAGCTACAAATGGCGCAGCACAGGTATAGATATACTAAACATGCGATGTATCTATTCAATTTTAATACGAGGACAATCTTAGTACTTACGTGAGCAGAGCATTATTTTGAAATGTTGGCAAAGATAAAGCAATAAATCACAATCAGGTATAAGCCAATACAAACCTTCACTTTTCTTGGGATAAGCCTTTAACCTAATCCGAATTAAGCACTAGTTGCCCGTGGAACCCATGCAAATATTAAGTCCTTAAGTATGGAGTCGCCACACTCCTGGACCTAAGCCTTTGTTACCCTCAAGAATCTCCTTAGATATTTAATTTCAACAGTTTGGATACGACTTTTCAGTGCCTTCCTTATAGTCCACGAATCTGTTCGCTTTGATAAAAACATTCTACTTAGGATTCCAGGATTACTTTGAGCTTTTTATGATGAATATCAACTCCTCGATCGAACGTGATTAACTTTTCTCTCATGGCGCGGGCCACAACTATATATCTAATAAAAAGCTATAATCTGATATATTCTAGTTTGGAAAAGGACAACATTAAGAATGTTTCCCTGTTTTTGTTGAAAAGGACATAAATCTGAAGCAATGAATTGGAAAAATTCCGTTAAAAAGGTGACTAAAAAAATACTCAATACTCAAAGATATAAACGTGTAGATAATAGAAAAACATTTGATTATTTAGATTTCAACAACCTTTTTTTCTAATGGACCATTATAAAGAAGCATATCTCTATAAATTGAGTATCATAATCCTGTAGTGCGGATAGCAAATACCTATCGCACAGTAAAGCTTCACAAGAAGCTTGAAACTGCATCATGGCCATCTCCAGGTTACATATTACCCTCGGGTTTTCTTAAGGACCAACATTGTAATGCAAAATCTTGGAACAAAATTAAAATCGTTCTGAGGGTGGAAAGCTTGTCCTTATTTCCAACTTTCTCAAGGTTAGGACGTTGTATCCAAGTTTTAGAATTCTAATGAGGTGAAGATGTTCTTTTCGTTATTTCATCAACTTCCACTTAGACACAAATTAGTTTTCAATATTAGCGTCAACATAGAAATGGCGAATGTCATGTGAAGTCTGGAAATTGCGATTTGCTCCCCACCACATCTCTGGTTATGTTTTTGATGTGTGAATCGTATCCCAATTCTTTGGATAAGGACCATTTTTTCAATGTAGGCGTGAAGAATCGAGATGTTTGTTACCCAAGCATTTTATGTATATTGTTTTTCATATTTAATTTAAACATGTCAAACATTAGAGGTGCTAGCAGTCCTTGGACAAAGGAGATTTATTTTGTACTTAGAGCGATGGCTACTGCTTATTGCCTTTTAAAGAGTCTCCAGTTTGATATAACAATACAATATCGTATAAAGAAACAAAATCTAAGAAGCCTTCTTAAACTGATAACTTCGCTTGATAACACTTCTCTTTAGAATAGTTTTCAATTGCTTTCACCCATTTCACCTTCTTCAGTTTGTTTATGATGTCGTATTATACACATATAGATTCCTGAAGAGGGTATAAATACCAACGAAGTAGACAAGTATTATCAGCATCCCCAAATTTGACATTTTTCTGTTTCAGGTTGCAAGGTGTAAGATGATAAGAATAAACCGAATAGTCAATAATAAGTTTCTCCTCGCTGGGTTGTAAATTATGTACATAGGTGCTTCTGTATATGTATAGTCTGAGAAAATCTAAAGTTCGCCAATTTTGACCTAACAAGCAAACTTAGGAATCGTTTTAAAATAAACTAATTTCAGAATACTCTTCAGGGTCTTGTAAAACAAGGCTTTAACTTTAGTCTTCAACTGAGTTTTTGAGCTTTTGGGTGTACTTATTTTTAGAAGGTATCAGACATTAGATCGTTTATAACTGGAAAACAGTCAACTTTAGAGAACGGTTCATGCAATCTGTTTTTGTTCAGAATGATCCAAAAAACCTGGAAAATGTTGTTTTAATATATTTGAAAAATCGGTTAAACAAACGTGTTTTGCCTGAGGTGCTGGAATAGCTGTTAACGACTTGTTGAATTGTTTTTATGGACTACCAGAAAAGCTTCTATTAGCAAGTAAAGTTACCTTTGTCTGCTATCAGATAACTTTTGTGAGTACTCAAATAACACTTTCTTTTGGTGAAACTAGTTTGGCACAGGTATTTATGTTGTATGATCTTTTGACAAAACCAGTTTATGTATTCATTTTTGTTGCGTACTCTGAACTAGTTTTGTGCTTAGTACAAAACTATCGCATGACCTGCTAATGTTGCGTAAGTGAGCTATCAGTGATGCCTTTGCAAGGAGCTAAAAGCACACTTGGAATATTTCAGAGTCATTTCCACTAGCTAAGAGATGACATTGGCACAAATTGCCTTGGCCTACTAACAGTAGCTCGCGATCGACAGACAAAAAAGCTCTATGACAGACTAATAAAATAATTTTTGTTTCAAGTTACGTTTCATATGATTAGGAAAAAGGTAGGCCGCGTTTGTAAAAACATCTCTCAAATGGATAGACAGTGGTGTAATTTATCTTATCTATCACTTGTTAGGGGATCACAGAGCAAAAATGTCAACATATTTCTACAAAACATCCGTGTCTTTTTGTTTCTGAAATATAAGATCGCGGGGAGTGCATAAATACTATCTGAATAGGGTATATTTGATATTGTTTTTAACTTCACGTATCATGTTCTCAAAAACGTTAATGTTTTACAGTTTGAACATTTTTTCATGAGTAGGTACCTGTCTGGATCAAGCATAACAGCCCTATCTTATGTTGAAAAGTTATTTACGTATATTTCTTACTAATTAGCCTAATTCGGTAGATATTTGATCTTAAATTGTTAATAGGTGTGACAATATTTAGCTACGATTCGGTTAATTTTCTTTAATCGTTTCAAAAGGTTAAATTCCGTCATAATCTGCCAAGGTTTCGTCCAAAACGACACTTACATTATAAAATTGACCTCTGTTTCCAGAGTTACATTTTGATTTTCATCCAGTCACAGCAACGAGAAGTGTAATTCTATTGATAAAAATGGCTAGCGTTGTTATAGTTGATAAGACAGTCAATTTGAATAGTTCCTGATTTGACACCACTGACTCTTGGTCTGTTTTTTATCTACTGTCAGGCTGAGAAGACAATGCATGAATGAATAAATAAACATAATTTGTATAAATCAGTATTTTGCTTACCTAATGTGTTTCATATAGTAACATTTTTTTGAACAGTGCGTTTCAGAAGCTGACATTATATAAAACCATCAAATCAAAGGGTAGCATTCAAACGTTACTAGATCAACAAGTTTGCTTTGATATGTACTTTACTTAATTTTATAAAAATTAAAAAACCTGTACGATACCACTTTTCAATACATTATCTATCTAACAATTGGTGAACAAAAAAATAATAGCGAAGATCAACTGAAACACTTATTTTCTTAATTTACTGAAACAACAATATGTCATTTGTTATAATGTGTTGCACATTCACTATACTTTAAAACTTTGCATAGTACTTGTTGCACATCCACTAAATTTTAGAATAGTTAGTAAGGCTTGCAGACCATCCAGCAAAGTTCCTCAAGTGCCTTAAATTTGACCATTGGAATCTCGGAAACGGTAAGAGATACAAGGTTGGTTAATTGGTGGCAAAGTTGCTCATTTAGGTAACCGAGAAAATTCCACTTAGTAATCTTCGCATTCAGTGTTTCCAAAGACAGTCGAAAAAACTGAGTTATTATAAATTCCTTTCTATTTTTACTGAAGTTATTCGAAATAGGAATCCAAAATAAATTGCGACTTCTCCTCTACAAAGTGGCATAATTAGAATTTCAGTCCCTACTCGTCAATAATCAACTTATTGTTTTTTATGAACGACATTGCATATGTATGTTCTATGGTTTTTAATTACATTTTTTCTACTTTCCTATATAGCAGCAGTGAGGATAGAATTTGATATTATTCTATAAAAATTGAACGTAGAATTACAGGCAGTTTGCTCAATTTTGAAGCTTTAAGTAAGCCAT